TTATTTTTCTACTTTTGTATCTATCTTGGGATTTTCATGTATATTATACTGAACTTGATTTTTTTAATAAAATATTGTATTATTACATTTATAAAAAAAAATAATTACAAAAAAATAAAATTTAATTCATTGGATTTATCTCATTAAGCCTATTAAATGATTATATTTTTATATTTCTGAGATCAATAGATAGCAAAATATATAAGTTTAAAATTTTAATTATTTTCATAATAATTTATCATACATTTATCTTTTAAATATCACTAATTAATTACATTTTTTTTTGAATTTTTATAAAATTTATTATAAAATTATTAATGTTTAAATAAATTATTTTAAAAATATTTAAAAATATTATAAATAATTTTAATTATTAAATAAAATTGCAGGTAAATTTGCTTGCAAAACGCTTAAAGGGATAAAAAAAATAATTATATTTAGTATTATATTTAAATGAAATAGATAATTATTAAAGATAAAGAGAATATGCAATTCTTAGATTATTTAATATGAGTTTTAGTATTAAATTATTTTATACTTATATATTTTTACAACTTTATTTATATCTATAAAATGTTTATTTATTTATATTACTTTCACTAATTTAAATTATAAAAAAGTATTAATTTTAATCAAATTTTATAAGAAAACTTCTCAAAATAAAAAAAATAAGCAATATAACTTTTATGATTCAACTTATTAGTATATTTAATTTTCATAATTTTTGTCTTATACTTAAGGAATATATTTTGATTTTATGCATTAAAAATACTTATCATAAATTTTACTACACTAATTATACTTGATTAGATGATAATATTTTATTATAAGAATTTATTTTTACAATATTATGTATTATATACATAATAATAATCTTGATAAAAATCAAAATGCTGATATTAACAAGAAGAATAATATATATATTTTATTTTGAGATAGTTATAAAAATGGAAAATTGATTAACATTATGATTATACTTTAAAAAGCTAACCTAAACTATAAATGAACTTACCTTATTATTATATTTACAGAATATATAGATTTATTTAATTATAAATATTGATGATACAAATAATAATAAATTTTAATTTTAATTAGAATTTTTGTTTAAATTTTTATTAACTATGATATATGATATTTAATATTATTATACATTTATTTATTAAGTTTAGATTGTATATTTAATTATAACTTTTATATAGAATACAATTTATTTTATCTAAGTAGAACTTTAGGTTTCACTTTTTTATTTACTATATATTATTATTAATATAATATATAATTATTTTAGTTAAACTCTTTATTATAATAAATAAATTATATTATTTAATTTATAAATGTGATATATGACTTTTTTTATATTAATAATTATCTTAGAAATATACAAAATAATAAAAATTATTTTTATTACAATAAGTTTAATCATTTAATAATAAATTTTATATATTATATATAAATATTAAAAAATAAAAAATCAGGTAAATCAAGTTCTACCAAAAAATTTTTATTAATACATACAAAAATAAATATAAAGGCTCTATGATATATATTATTTTTTTTTTAATCCTAGTTTACTTTTAGCTAAAATATTATTTACACTAATATAATTCTTTAGTAATTTAACAATAATATTAATTATTCTTTTCATATTACTTTAAAGTAATTTAAGATTTTCTTTAATAATAGACTTTGTAAAATTAATTTGATATTAATTACTACTTATGAAGTAACATCTAGAAAATATATGATAGAATACTACTTTATATTTTTAATCATATAACATATACTACTCTACAATAAATTACCAGATTTTATAAATTTTACTTAATAATATATAGTAAAATTGAAGACTTCAGATTTTATAAAAGTTTATGAATTTTTAATAAATTTCACTCTAAATTTTTTTATTTAATAACCAATTAATTATAATTTTAAAAATATAATTCAAATATACTTTATTTATAAAATACTGAAAAATACTCATTTGTAAAGTAATATATAACACAATTTTATACATAAAAACGCAAAAAATATAGAAAAAAATTGTTGCTTATACTTCAATATGAGAAAATTTTTTCATGTTTTAAAAAATTTCTTTTTTTATTTAATATCTAAAAACTATAATTGATCAGCTATTAAATAAAAAAAAATCAGATGACTTTTATTGAAACTTGTAAACTTTTATGCAACCTAAAGATCTTCAATTTTACTATATATTACTAGGTAAAATTTATAAAATCCAGTAATTTATTATAGGGCAGTGTAGATGTAGTTAAAATAATTATTATTAAATATTTGAAAACTTATCCTTTTTTATCTTCTAAAAAAGAAAAGAAAACTAGTAAAAAGAATAAAATTTATCCTAAAAAAATCTAAAAAATCTTAAAAAAGATTTACCTCCTATTTAAAAAGAACATTATTAATAAGATTAATAAAAATACTTGTAATATCATAATATTTTTATTTTTTAATTGAAAGATTAGTTATATTTTCTTTAACTTTTTTAGTAAAATAATTTAAAAAAAATTGTTTTGTATTTTTTGACACTTTAAAATAATTATTTGTAAAATATAATTTCAAATTTATAAAGAATTTTTTTTCAAAAAAAATTGTAATATATATAAATAACTTAAAATAATCTTATGATACTTTTTTTTATACTTGAAATTTTTATACTAAAGCTTTAGGTTAATCATTAATATTTTTTTTTATTTGAACTATAATAATTAAATTAAAAAGTGAATTCAATTGTATTAGACATAACAAAAAAATTTAATATTTTTAAAATTATATTTATATGCATAATTTAATCAATTATATATTTTTATTATATTATATAAGTTTTGTCAAATTATAAAAGTTTCATTAGATTATAAAGATTTTATTAATTTTAGAATTTTATATAAGTTTTATAAGTAATAAACTAATTTTATCAAATTATAAAAGTTTATTAATTTTAGATTTTAGTTTTATTTAAAAACATTAAAATAAATATATATTATATATTTTGATATTATAGTAATTTTTTTTTCTTAAATAATAATTAGTTTGATAAAATAAAATAAAAGTAAATAACATACTGTATAATTTGTATTAGATTTTATTTATTCTATATATTTTTTTATCTAAAATTAAATTATTATTACTAATTGCTATTTTATAATTATTTACTAAAATAAATTAAATATAGATATATTATAATTTAATTTAACTTTTAATATAATTTATTAACTATTTATTTAATATTAATAAATTATTTTTCAATTATATTTTTAAAAAGATTAATTAGTTTGATAGAAAATTATAATCTATTTAAAGTATTTTTTTTTTAAAAATTATATTTATAGTATTAATTTATATTATTAAGTAAAAAGATTTTATAGTTAATTTAAGCTTTATAAAATTAGTTATAATATTAAAAATGATTATAATTTATTATTATAATTTTTTTTTATTTCTAATATAATTTTTATAAGTTTAAAAAAAACTTTAATTATTTTAATTAACTATTTTGGAATATTAAAAAAAAATTAAATGCTTAATTTTTAGATTTGCTAATTAAATAATCAATTAAAAGATAAAATTTTAAAATTTATTTTTGAAATATTTTTATTTTAATCTTATTTTTTTTCAAAATATTATTTTAAGCAATAATAATATTTAAATTATTAACAAATATTTTTTTTTAAAAAAAATTAGTTAATAAAAAAGTATTAATTTAATACAAATAAAATTAAAAAATTTTTAATAATTTTTAAATATTTATATACTCTTCACATTTTTAAAATATTATGATTTCAAAGAATATGTATTTAGAAATTTTTATTTGTATCTAATTTTATAAAAATATATATATAAATATAAATATATATATAGTATAATAAATTTTTCTTTAAACATTTAATTTATGAATAGATAATCTAAAAAAATTAAAGATATTTACTTACAATATATAATTTTTATTATTATAATCAACTCCTTTTAAATGAATTTACCTTTGAAATATTGAAAATTTTAAAAATGTGTATTTAAAGAAAAAATTTCTATATAATTCCTATATATTTGAGAATATGTATTTAAAAAAAAAAAAATATAAAGTATATGCATTTAAAAAAGGTGTATTTAGAGAAAATTATTTAATATATTTACTAATGTTATCAATTTTGACAATTTCTAATATCTAATATCTGAATACCATGTGAATATAAGGATTAAAAACAGATTAATTAGTAAAAACAGAATATAATAAAATGTGATATGATAAATAGTATGAAGGAATTTTTCTCTGATTGGATCTTTAGATACAAATTATAATTGGCTAATGATCATTTGATTTTAATTCAAAATATGTCGATACTTATCGTTATACTGTAAACTTAATATAAAAAATTGCGTAACATTGGGGGTCAAATTGAATTTCGCTCATGCACTTCACATAAGTCCGGAGCACAAGTGTAACGAAAGGGACCAACACGTATCGACTCAAATTTTGAGCGGGCGGACAAGGGACAACTCGTGTAATATGTGGCTAGTATAAGAAAGTCCTTCGCTTCGTTCCGGACTAATCAAATGACCCATGACTTATATTCCCGTGTTTACTAAGAAATTTTCTATATATCTTTATTGATAAAATTTCATTAAAATTCTAAAAAGAACTTTTTTTAACATCTAATTAAAAATTCTTATTTCAATTTTCTTTAAAAAAACATTATTTGTAAATAGTAAGAAACAGAAATCATCTGATTTTTGAATGGGAAATCGTGCATACAGATCTCACCAAAAGGAGTATACTTTAAAATTTTTCGTGGGTAAAAAATAAAAGCCAATCCTGCCCTTAACTTTCAATAAGTTGATTTGTTTCTTAACCGATAAACAAAGTTTATATATGACTATGAATATCAATCCCAAGACTATCTCTGCTACTGTAAAAAAAAATAAAAAAAAAATTTCCAGACCCTCCTCTTGACAAGTTTTATATCTTTTGATAAATCTTTATATAAATGTCTGCAATAGTTTCATTACAAGTCAAAAATGGAAACAAAAACATCAATTTGTCGTTGATTGATGATAAATTATCTTTTGAGTTGAATATGAAAAGTGGTATTTAAGAAATTTACGTAAACAATGAGTACCTTCTATATCTTAATATATATTTTTTATCTATTCGTTTTACAGCAAACAATAATCCCATAAGTATTCCCGCTAGAAACATTCTTTATATCGCTTTAGATAAAACAAAAGATACCTGCATTAGAATCAATGTGCTTGTCCCAAAGGATAAACTAACATTAAAGTTAAAGGAGTTTTCTTTCCAAGTCATTGATGAAGAGTCAACACAATCATGGATAAAGGCTGTTAATTCGACAGCATATAAAGGTACAATTTGTTATGTATATAAAAAAATATTCACTAGCCTATTATTAAAGTGAGGGTATAATTTACAATTTTAGACGCGAAACAAGCGAAACATTTCAAAGTTTTCGTTAACCCTTTTGGTGGTTCGGGTAAAGCTGTTAAGATTTTCAATCAATCAGTTAAACCCATCTTTGATGCAGCAGGATGTACCTATGATGTTACCAGTTAGTATTCAAGTATTTGAAAGTTGCCAGTACTTGAATGACATTGCTAAATAATTCGTTCCACAATTATGTAGTGACAGAATTTTCGAATCATGCGAATAATGCTAAAGAAGTCGTAAAAAATTTAAATCTTAAAGCTTACGACGCAATTGTTACGGTTAGTGGTGATGGTATAATTCATGAAATAATCAATGGCCTCTTATCACGTGATGACGCTCTCGAAATTGATATCCCAATAGGCACGATTCCTGCGGGTAATTAATTTTAATCTCTTCCCTTTGACTTGTTTAATGATAATGATATGAGTCTTTTTATAGGTTCTGGTAATGCTTTGAGTATTTGTCTTTTGGGTAATGATCACGGCGTTAGCGTTACACACGCTACACTTAATGTAATTAAAGGTATGCTAATTTACAAGTAATGTATAACGTCCTGAATCATTGACCTAAATGTTTAAATTTCTTAATATTAAAAGGCGTCCCAATGAAAATTGATACGTGTTCCGTTACACAAGGGAACGAAAAATATTTTGCTTTTATGACTTTGAACTATGGTATTTTAGCGGACGGGGATATTTCAACCGACCACCTAAGGTATCTATTTTTTTCGTGTGAAATTAATATAATTGAAAAAATATCAATGTTTTTAATTTTATGGTTCTTGTAGATGGATGAAAAATTTTCGATTTTTTCTTGGTACCGTACAAGCATTATTTGGAAATCGCAATTATGATTGTGAATTAGCGATGAAAATTGCCGAAGATAATATTGTGAGAATCAAACAAAATTATAATGAAGTTTATGATAGTTCTATTCTGGATATGAAAGATAAACCTAGGACGCTTATAAATAAATATGGAACTGTAAATGATCCAATTCCTCGAGGGTGGACAATTTTGAATGATGATGGATATATTTTCTACGCTAGTAAAGTTCCTTGGGTAACGAGGAATAATATGGTTTTTCCTTTTGCATTACCGTCTGATGGGCTTATAGATTTGATGATGATTAAACGGAATAAGGTATCGAAAATCAAAGTTGCAAATATATGTAGCGAAGCGTTTGAAAATGGAAGTCATGTCAATATGAAAGAGGTAAACGTTAGATATAGTAAATTTTTTTCTTTTATATTTAATATTTAATATTTTTTTTTCAATAGGTTAATTATTATAAAGTTGAGGCTTTTCGTTTAACTCCAAAAAATAAAGAAAACGGATATATTAGTATTGATGGAGAGAAGGTACCATTTGAACCTTTTCAAGTTGAAGTCCACCCCGGATTAATAAATATAATTAGTATAAATGGGAGATATGCTCCAACAAGTTCTTAGTATTTATTGATTTTTAAATTTAATAATATACTTATATTAATAGTTAGCGTATTATATTTATATATATATATAAACTATATAAAAATATATAAAAATAAAAAAGGAGCCATCAAAAAGATTTTGATTGAAACAATTAATAAGTAAATATTATATTAATGGTGATGAAATTTATTTCGCGCAAAAACTATGTAAAGTCCAAAAAAAAGTAAGAAGAAAAGAAACAAACTAAAACTACAACCACCACCTGGGCAATGTAGGAAGTGTAAATTAAGGTTGTTATAATCTTGCTCTAAATAAAGAATGATATGTATTTGTAAAGAATAAAAAAAGATGATATATTAAGCTCTTTAGAATCCTAATTTACAAAATAAATTAAATTATAAAAAAAATATATATATTGATAGAATAACATTGTAATAATATCTGTTTCCTAATCATCGATGATATTGATCAAGTGTACTCTTAAATGGATCACCAGCAGCAAAATTTCCTCTGCCATCCCTCAGTACGACCTCACCCTCTTCATCCCAATTAGAAGATTTTGATTTTTGATATCTGAATACTGCCATGCCAGCACCACCTAAAACCACCATTCCACCTACGATAGATGCTACAACTACAATTGTTGTTGTCGCAGAACCATCATCAGTATTTGTATTATTTTGTCCACCTTGTTTTGGTAAAGAAGATTTCGGGGATTTAATTGGATTTTTAGGTGCAGGGGTTTGATCAGAAACATATGAGTAAGTTGTTATTGTAACCGCAGGAGTTGTTTGAATTGTAGGTTGCTGGACTGGAGGACTAGCTACAGGTTCTTTAGGTGGTTCTGCAGGTGCTGGTTCTTTAGGTTCTGCAGGCGGTTCTGCAGGTGGCTGTGGCTCGGGATCTTTTGGAGCGGGATCTTTTGGAGGAGGATCTTTTGGAGGAGGATCTTTTGGAGCGGGATCTTTTGGAGCAGGATCTTTTGGAGCGGGATCTTTTGGAGCAGGATCTTTTGGAGCGGGATCTTTTGGCGGTTCTTTTGGAGCTTCTGCGGGATCTTTGGCAGGGACGTCATCAAGAACTTCCTTGGCAGGTTCCTTAGCAGGTTCCTTAGCAGGTTCCTTAACAGGTTCCTTAACAGGTTCTTTTGGTTCATCTTTAGCTGGTTCTTTTACAGGTTCTTTTTGTTCAGGCTCCTTTGCAGGAGCTTTAGCATCGTCTTGTGGGGCAGCGAGTGCACTTGAGTTTTCATTTACTAATGTTAAGAAACATATCAATAAAGAAAGTGCAAAAATTATTATGAATTTTGATGATTTCATTGTGAATGATTATGTTCGCTCGGCAATGTTATGTGATTTTAATTAATTAAAGTAATAAGAGAGGGACGGAAAAAAAGAAAGTATAAAATGAAACGAAGGTAATGAAAGGAAGGTAATGATTTAATGAGAGGATTATAACTGGCTTAATTATAATTTTCAAATTCTAAAAAAGAAAAAAAAAGAAAAAAAAAAAGTATAAATATTTTGTTAATGAATTGAATTAATTATATTATTTTTTTGATTTTTTCATTCAGCGATGTGAATTTAAACTTTTTACTTGTAAAGAAATAAAAAAATAAAAAAAAATTCAAGAAAATTTAAATATTTTAACAAGGAAAGAAGTCTTTCCGAAGAAATTTATAATTCAAACTTTTGTCTAAATATAGTTTGATATAATCGACAAGGGGAAATATTTGCGTTTCATATTTATTTTTACATTCCAGGACTAATAAAATAGAGCCTACCTTTTTTTTTTTTTTTTTTTTAAAAAAAAAAAAAAAAAAAAAAAAAAAATTTTTAAAAAAGAAATAAATTATATAAAAGATGAAAAAAAAAAACGTCGCTTTTTTAATTTTTCACCTCAAAAATAAGTATTAGGCCTTGTCGAAAATTTCCAAAATCGGAGATGAACTGTCATTACAATCCAATCATTTCAAAAGAAAGTATCAGAATGATCAACTCTTTGCCCGTGCATACATTGCACAAATAAATTAATTTTCTTAAATTTTTCATTTTTACAGTATTACAGAAATTAGGGGTAAATCTATGGGCAAAAGAAAAAAAGTAAGAAAATATCACTCTCACAAGACTTAGCTTGACATTTTGGTGTCAGAATTACAAAACGATAAAATTGGATCACACTTAATATATTTTACGATTATGGAACCTATTACATCTTCAAAAACTACAACAAAAATAAACACTCAAAAACATTATCCACAACCAAGTAGTGGTAGGAATTCGCCGATAGTCGCAGAGGCTTCAAGTAGTAGTGGTAGCGGTGGTGGTCCTGAGGAACTAGAAGAAAATGGTGTTATTACTGAATCGGAAGATATATTACCTACTCCGCCAACAGGAGAAGAATTTATTGACGAGGATCCTTTTCTTTTAGTGTCCTTAAGAGCTTCAAAGAGATCGCCACCCAGACCAAAGCGTATTTCAATCTTATATACGTTTGCATTATTGGATATAATCATTATAACGGTTTGTACGATTATGTTAGTTCATAAGGACAAACAAGGTTATTGGCATTGGAAGAAAGCAGTCTGGGATTGGGTTGCTCTCGGACTTATTAGATTTATGATTGTTATAGGAATAGCGTCTTCTCAGTGGATTAGAGAATTGCGCTGGGCTTTAGGAGGTACTTGTTGTGTAAGTAATTAAATGATTGATTTCCTTTTTATTTATTTTAAAAAAGGTTTTAATATTAAATTTCCTGCATCTTTAATTTTTTTTTCATTTAGTTTTCTTCATTGTACATAATTTTCAAAACAAATTTATTAATTCAGCAAAAATCGGTTGATAAATATCATCTCATTCTTTTATTATCATCTTTTCTATTTTGTCAAATACATTGGATAGCATATGTTGTTGTTACAACAGATAGTCGTCGTCAAGCGATGCTACTACGAAATCATTCTATCATTTTTGAAGAGGATAATCCTAATGCTGGAGAAAATGAGGATGTTAATCATGCGTTACTTAATGAGGAAAGAGATACTTCTTCGCGATCGTATGGCGCAACCTCAAATCATTGTGATGAAATCGATGTTTTAGTTACCAACAATCGCTAATTTGTTGATGTAATGATTGTAAAGTTTTTTTGGGTTTCTGTTTTGTAATCGTAGTAGTAAACTATATATATAATTGTAAAGTAGTAAAAAATTCATTTATTGTACCTTTTTTTTATTCTTATTATTTAAATGTAATTCTAGCAATAAAGTTAATCAATAGTACATTAAATGTTTTTTTTTTTTTGAAATAACTCATGAATTTCAAAGTATGAAGAATCCTCGAATCTTCAAATTCTTAATAATGAGAAAGAATTTATATCAATAGTATTGAGAATTTAATATAAAATTTTTTTATTTCATTATTGATTAATCAATTTATTAAATAATTTCTAGACTTTTAGTTATTACAGTAGCGGTCATAAGTATCCGACCCCTCATAATTCTTAAAGTTAATTAATAATATCTATTAAATTTTTTTT